GTGCGTGCGTGCACGTAGGTATGTGTGTGCGTGCGTGCACGTAGGTATGTGTGTGCGTGCGAGCACGTACGCAAAGCCATTTCCTCAGGAACTCCTGATGCTGGAGCTCTTTGTTTTGACTCTTGTCTCTCAAAACAGATAAAGAAGAAACAGAAGTTCCGTATGAGTAAGGAAAACACTGTTCTCAATGTTCCTTCGATCTTAACATGATATTTATCCTTCTTCATATAAATCTTGGATTAATGGTTTGATAAGACAATTAATCCAAGTATGAAGTATTCCAGTATCTGAGAAAATTTTCTAAGTCAGTGCAGAAAGAATCTTCACATATCAGATTTTAAAAATGATGCGCTCACACTAAGTCCAGAAGAACTAGATGCCTGGATTAGTTTTCAGTGGTTGTAAGAACATTTCCTAGTGAACAACAAATCATCAGATTTTGTTAACGGAATCAAGAGTCTTTTGAGTACATTTCGAAAACTGATGTAGAATTTCACTTAAATTACACTTTCCACACTCGTATAGATATCTTCCTTGATAACCTCTGATGTGAGTGATGAAAAAGATGACCATTTCCACACAGACATCGGAACAAAGTAGCAACTTTACCAAGGTTTCTGTAATGACTAAATGATAGCAGATTTCTGTTCTATGTTATACAGAGATCCAGAAGTAGATCACAAGAAACGTGAGAGTTCATCATATCTGTGGAAGCTTTACTAACGCCATTTATAAGGAAATGGAATATGGTTGATATTTAGGGTAATAAATGGATTCACTATTGTAGAAAAATAGTAGGTGATTGAACATATCTGAATGCAAAATCGAAATCTGTGTTAAAAACTGGTTTAGAAAAATATACTTATATTTCTGATGATTACAACAAGTTTTATTTTGTAGACCTGTGTTCTTAACCAATTAATGCTCTATTTAATTTTATGTGAAGGGCGCCATCTGGTAGCATCCCTTTCCAACTTTTAGTGCTAAGCCCCAAGCTCTAGTGCAAACTCTCCAGTAGTGTGTGTTAGCAACTTTTGGTGCTAAAGTAAACAATCATGCTCCAAAGTACCAACTGCTGGTTATATACTCATTTTTTACTGGAAGAAGTAGCAAAACCATTAGACCTTAGTTGCAAAGAATACTTCTGAAAATGGAATATTTGAACCCACCAGGATCCGAGCCGTTTAGTTATACACAATGATGCTCTACTGACTGAACTACCAATCCAAATATTGCAATAGTAATAATTTGATGATCTTAGGTGGTCAGCGATCTTGTGTAATGGTATAACTGGCATGAAGGGTGAAAATGAACAAAACAGAATTGCTTGGACATTGAACGTCCCCAATTAGATCAGATGGAATTTGTCTTCAAAACAGCATGCAAGAAGATCAATGTTTCTCATCAATTGAGACCCTCTCTCTTTACTAGTTTCTTTTGCAGGGTTGTCAGTACCATCACTTTCGGCTAGTTGTAAGGAACAGTGATTGCTCCTTGTTTCACAAATAAAATCGCGATTTCAATGCAGCACAGCAGATAGCAGAAGGGAAATGGGTGATGGGTAAGTGACCCTCACTATGAGCCAGTCGCTTTTAGGGCCACAATGCCCTGAATCCAAGGCAAGTTTCACGTCATTTCTGAACAAACGAAGTGGCCAAGCAGTCCTTGCGGAGACATTTTGAATGCTCTGTATTATGAAGCAAATGAATGAGTTCTGAAATGTGTAAATGAAACAAAATTAAGGACACACTTCCCTCTGCCAGGTCAAACAAATTACTGCTGAGAACAATGAAAATACAGCTATCTTTTCATGATACATTTGATCTAAGATATGAAAACACATTCCGATTATTTGCAAACAAAGAAAGCCCCTCTTCATTTAAAATACCATCCACCCTAATTCCACAATAACTAAAGTTCCTTTGTACTCCATTACTATAAGCAGTGAACATTATGCCATGTTCTCCATTTTCTATTACATCTCAAATACACTACCACGCTTCTCGATCTGAGGTCAGAAAGTGAGTCAGAATATAAAGCTCTTTGAAACCACACACATAAAAGACCTGTAACAAATGTGAAAACTGGATAGGAATCAAATAGGTAAGTAACTCTACAGTTCGAAGTGTTGAATCAGTATGAGCCCTAACAACCTTGACCATCCAGAGAGCACTTAATATCAGCAGTGACAACTGCACCTCTTCAACTTCCAAGTTGCGAAGAAACACAATCAAAATGATACCAAACAACTATGCATTGACACCATACACATTTCTACTGAGACCACTCTCATGCAAAAGCAGACTAAGGAATTTCAAAGTAAGAAAAACAATGACAAATTGGTCGTTTATAATATTAATTATTTAATTCGTACAGAAGCATCTTTCTTTCAGATTGATCAAAACACGAGGTTAAAATGCCATGTATAAAATGGATCTACAACAGCACATACTTTCTCAATTATCTGTAACTTATTTATTAGTAAAATTAACTATGACTCTGCCAACCCATTAGTAATACAGCATAATCTGCCCAAAACCCCCTCACCCCTCTTAAGCATTATCTAATTTATGGATTACTCTTATTAGATAAGTGCGTAGTACGACTAGAAAGTGACCAGAAGGATAGGTCTTATAGATCTATTGTAGTGAGAACAGGAAGGCAGAGCGGCTTGCTTATCTTAACATAAGAAAAAAGAATGAAATCATAATATTTGTCTATAAATCAAAACAAAAATATTATAATTTAACTTAAATAAGAAATTAATGAACTAAATCTGAATTTCCATGCAAGTTTACCTGGTCGTGCACGAGGATAAATTGATGGAAGAACAGGGCGTGTGTTTGTAAAACCAAATCTTTCGAGCAGAGAAGCTTGATTAGCAGCTACCTCATCGCCCAAACCAGCTTCCAACATAATTTCTTGCTCCACCACATTATTCTGTTCCTCAGATTCTTGCATAGAAACTGACAGAGCCAACCCCAATTGAAAATCTGGATCATCTTTATAACTTACAGAAGAACTCTAAAAATCAGAAGACAACAACTAGAGTAATCATCACAAGATTTTACTTCATATTTCCTGTGAAAAGTATTTTAACATCAGGCCTGGCTGAAGGCATGTATAAAGCACTCTTTACTTGAGATTTCTTTGCATGGAGTTCCACACCGAAATACTTTCAAGCTTTAAATTTAATTTTTTATTAAGTTGCTTATATATTTATTCATAATGTAGTAGACTAAGAGAGCTTGATACACACTTTCTGTAATAAATGGCACAGATGTTGTATAGGTGTCTATTACTAGGCAAGAGGCAGTTCAACCTTGCTTAGCCTACCACAGAAACATGAAAGATATTTTGTTTTCTTACAACAGTCTTCTTAGTCCTTTGTGCGGCAAACCCCTTATGCCTTTTCTTATGCTGTTCTGTGAAAACCATACGGCAAAAACTTCTACTGTTCAAAAATAGTGAGATGTGTTAAATTTACACAATTTGCCCTATATATTACAGAAGCTTATCAGAACACATTTTATGCACTCTTAAGTGAATTTGTCTGCTCTACATCAACTTAATTCTGAAGATACTACACATGCACAATCCAATATCCACAACTTCTTCCTCACTCCACACCTGGGAAAATCATGTTCAGAGCCCTGATTTCTTTGACTCGCAAATTAACAAATTTTTTCACATGTGAAGCTGCTTTTTTTTTATCCTCAAACATCACACACAGAAGTGGCCAAATTATTACACTAGAGGCATTAACAGTGTGAAAAATATATGTTTGATCAGAGGCAAACAAGATAAACTAGCCAGCAAACCAGAGTGTGACCAGCTGGCCTGGATAGCCAAGGATGCTAAGGTTGAAGGGCCGTGCCTGCCTCAGCTTGAAGGCTCATGGGTTCAAATCCCACTTCAGGCATGGATGTTTGTGTGTCCACGTTGTCCTTTGTTCCCTTACATTTACCCCACATTAACAATGACACTAGTTGCTTTATGTCTAGTGGCAACCTTTAAAAAAAACTTGTAAAAATCTGAGTGAACATGTATATATTATTTTATTAACAATTCCCATCATAATTAACATTCTGTCGGGCTTGTTGAAATTGTTTGATACTTTTTCAATAATTTTAATTTCATGTTCACAGATCCACAAGTTTTTTTATCTTCATTTTTCAGCTTTGTCTTCAATACAGACAAAATTTATACAGGATCTACATCCACACTATATCCAGGCCATGGCAGGGCAGTATACACAAAATATTTTGTAACTTTTTTATCTTATGTTGTACGAGGTGCGAGTATGCATGAATACACACATATTTAAAATACATACATGAACCATTTTGTTCTATTGTTCATTTATATAAGATACGAGTTGATTCTACAGGATGCTACAAGATAATTAAATACTGTTCTAGTACAGACATAACACCCAGAACAATGTCTTCCATTGATCGCTACACAGTTTGGATAATATACTGAAGATGTACATTACATACACCATCTGATGCCCTACTGGTTTACCTGATAGAATTTCAAACATATCTTCTCTTTGCAAAAGATTGAGATACATTCAATATTAAGGAAGTTTTGTAAAAACATTCAATAATATCAGAAGGCTTACTCAAAACCTGAAAAAAACAATTGACTGAAGTCTAGTATTCAGTACAACTTACGGAAGTAGTTTCAACAGACACCTCGCGCCAATCCGGCGTTAACATTACAGTTTAAATTCTGGAAGCTTTCTTATAAAAGTGAATTTTTAACTATGCGGTGGATAGACTCAAGCATGTTTATACTGAACGCGAAGGCCGAACGCCCGAGCCTCGCCGCGACTTGGATCCGGACGAGCGAAGCGAGAAAACTTGCCGTTGAAAGTAAATTGACATGACAATGCAGCGGGGACAACACGTATGAAAGACAAGCCATGAAAATCGCATGTTTATAAGTTTTATTCATTTCTATCAGAGCGCGTGGAGTAATTTGAGGGAGGGCTTAAAGAGACCCCTCCTCCCGTCGAAACGCTTCTCTGCGGGTGTACTCTACTTTAACCAAACAATTCCAGAAATGAAGTCAAAATGTAGTGAAAATAAATTAAAATCTAAGTCTCCATAGTACAGTGCACGAAAATTGCTGAATCTACTGCATTGACAACTTATCATAACCATTACAACAATATTTAAAGTTCCAATTAGCATCTCATTCTTATGGCTAGATTAAGAAACCTTCAGAAATGATTATCAACATAGGTATTTATGCTTGCAGAAAGAAGAAAGCAAACCAATATTATATGGGAAGGCTAAAACAGAAGTTTCCCAGCACCAGTAAAAATATGAACAATTTTAATAATTCCCATCTGATCAAACTCTTTTCAATCTAATATAACAATAAATTACCTTCTTTGAAATACTCTTCTTAGCAATCCCAGTAGTAAGCACACAAGGTAAACCTAACAATTTTCTCTCTTCTATTTGTTTTGTTTGCAAATCAACAGCATCCAATAACTGCTTAAGTGTAAGATTATGTTTGGAAGCACATGTTTTCATATGCTGCATCTGGTCCCCGGAATTTTCAAATCTTTTCCAACACACAGGACATGCACAAACAATATTTTCTTCTTTATTTCCACTAGCATTTTCATGAATTGCATCAAGAGAGCTAGGTGATTCCCCCGGTGAAGTCCACAAAGTGTTTTCTTTTCTTTTTGTTTCACACTGGATATGGTCTTCATTCTCGCTTGTTTTAGGAGCATCACTATTCTTTCTTTTAGTTGACACTTGTTTCAGATATGTCAATTTACTCTGAGTCTTTTTCTTTCTAAGCTTTGAAGTTTTTATATTCAAGAATGGGCTATCATCCAAACTTGTGTTTGGAAGCTGAGATTTTTGAAATTCTGATTGATCCATATCAGTAAATTAACTGAACAATTGACAATGAACACCACCAGCATTTATTGAATTGCACAACTTATTTTTTTTTTTCAAATTTTCTTCACAAGTAATATTTCTATTCAGAAGGCAATATGTTCTACAACCGTTTCTGAAAAATCAATTAAAAGTCATCAGCAAATCAAAAGTAAATTTTATATCTTAAGAAAATGATTTACATACAACAGAGATGACATACATACACAATTCTAAGCAGCATATTGTTTACTCTTCATCTTTTGTTGTTTGCAAGTCCTTTTGCCGCACCTTCATAGCCATGTTACTTAACGCAAACTGTTTTCTCTTATGTTCCTCCGAAAAACGAAATTTTTCTATAACTCTCTGATTAAAGGCCCAAGCACGATCCCAAATTCTGAAACATCAATTTAATGATCAATAAATCTTGTGGTGAATGGAATAAATGAACAATACAATTTTCTTCCTGCTTACACACCTAAAACGAAAATTAATTTTATAACGGAATTGTTTGCGTACAGAGTTCTGTAAACCGTATGCGTATAACGTCCAATAGCAAGAATTACACACGTATACTTACACCAATGAAACTCCTATCGCAGTTCCAATACCAAGTGTTCCCAAACAAACACAGTTAATAAATCTAAGAGCCGGGGTGCCTCGAATTCTCCTTGGTTTCTTTTTCATATGTTGTTCCATTTCTTACACCGATTTTCATACACGCGCCTGCATATGGCTTGAAGAACCACCGATGCACGAGTGAAAATACAAAGCAAATGACACGTGTGAACTCTTCACGAAATATTCACGAGACTTCACAATTTCTTTCACTTCCATCGCCTCCGAGAGGGCCGGTTCACTCAATGTTGCAAGGCGGGGGACTAAGTTTGTTTCCTCAGTCATGGACCTGGTGCAGATAGCGCAGCTGTTGCGTTTTGGCGCGCATTATCAAAGTAAAGTTGTGCGAACGCTGGTTGTGGTCCGTTTAGGGAATATCCATGAGTATTATCAGTTTTTCTTATGTTTTACTGCAAAGAATTTATTTGCAAAAGATGACTAAATCTTCCGTAAGAGGGTGCTCAACCGCTTGGAGGATGCCCTTTCATAAGCTCCCCAAAAATCAAGATGCGAGAACGATAGTTGAAAAACATAAATCGCCAAGATTTAATTGGTAAATTACGTATGAATTATCATAAAAGTTAATAAAATTGTATGTACTAATAAAATTAATCAAATATGCACACTTTGATGCAATTGGTGAGACATAACCTCATGTCTATATAAAAGATTTTTTATAGTAGAAAATTTACATTCTGCTCAATAAATGGGGATCATTAACTAATTTCGTGTTTACATATAACAATTTTTAATGAAAATTTTACGTGTATACATAGATGAAAAACGGGAAAAAGTGGTATAAATGACTCGTTATTTTGTTAATTCATATTAGTAATAGGAAACAAAAATGAAAAATTGGTCCAGTTTTCTGTTGGATTGTTGTTACATGTTCAATTATTTCATGTCAATTTGTTTAAATTAAAATCGTCAATTATCTTACATCCTGACCTTTAAACACCATCATTTTGGATTTCTTCATGAAATGTATCCACAGAGAAACAACAAAAAGTTGAATAGTCTCTAGAAAGGGCTGGAATTTATTAAGAGACAAGGAAGATTCCTAAAAGCTCCTCCAAAACACAAACCATTGGGACAGAGTGATAAAGGAAACAGATGGAAATGCACAAAACTTTTAGAATATTAATATTCTTCTTCTGATACTTGTCAGCTTAAACAGGAACACGCTTCTTATCCTGCTGTACATGATGAAGAATTTCAATGCTAATTTTGGTTTAGTGAATATTAATTTATAGACATGTTCATAAATAAAATGGTGTATCGTTGTTGTGTTTATATGTAGTGTAATTATAATAAATTAGTATGTTGAAAATTAGCATTATACAAAACTAACAGAAGAATTCAATTCATGATGAACAAATAAACAGTACTGCAATTACTTCACTCGGTGTTTACTGAATGAGGTTTTACTCATTTATGAAATGATTTTAATTTAATTAATGGGAAATAAGGCTTTAAAAATTCTGTATTGTTTTGGTTGACGGAATTCTGACAGTACATGCAGTAAAATTGGATTAGATGTTTAATGTAACTATCAATAATATTATTACAGGACTTATTGATCAGATGATTCATTTACCAATTTCAATTTGGCTACATTTAATTAAAAATCATCTAAAACATATTAACCTTTCGTAGCACTTAAGTAAGCGAAATATCCAAAAACGTATTTTACCTAATTTGGACAGTGCCCTTAATATTTTTAAATTTTCAAAATAAACTTTAGATATTCAG